TTGACACAGTTACCCACACACAGCTAATGTGTTAGCAGATCTAGTGCTAGGCTTTCTCACTAAACAACTCGGCATACTCCACAAACACTGCATTTTGGAATTGCCTTTTACATTGCAAACTTAATAATAATGGTTAACACTGAAGGTCCTTCTCTCAAGGAAAATGTAGACAAAGGAGTGGCTGTGGATAATGTACTTGGACTTTGAAAAATCATTTGACACAATTTGTACAATGTGTAAGTCTACACAGGCTTAGAAAATGCAGTTTGTAAATGGATAGAAAACTGTCTGTATTCAGAAAGTAGTGATTCATGATTCCTACTCTGAATGGTCTATGGTTATTAATGGGGTACCCCAAGGTTCAGTGTTGGGACCCTTGCTTTTTTACATATTCTTTCATGCGAGTTTGAGATTTAATACCATTTCAGTGTTTGTAGATGACACCAAGCCATGCAGTGGAAAATTGTCCTTACAGGATGTCTTCAACTTACAAGCCAACCCCAATACACTATTTAATTGGCTAATTATGTGGCAAATTAGGTTTATTGTTGATAAATGTAAAGTTTTGCACTTAGGGGCTAAAGACATTTATGCATCATACATGCTAGAATTACAACAGCTGAAGGAGTCAGTGGTGGAGAAGGATATGGGTGTTCTGGTAGATCATTGACTTAAAGTGGTTCTAAAGGATGAAGGTTTTTTTACCTATGCCTGAAGGTGAAAAAACCTTTTGTGTGCAGCTCCCACCTCAACCCCCCATTTGAGCCTGGTAGATGTTCAATTTGGGGCACCAATTCACAAAAATGATATTGTGGAGCTTGAGAAAATGCAGGGAAAGGCAACCAAACTGATAAGAGGCATGGAGGAGTTCAGCTATGAGGAAAGATTAGAGGAATTAATTTTATTCTCTCTTGAAAAGAAGAGATTAAGGGGAAAATTATCAACATGTATAAATACGTAAGTGGTCCATATAGTGAACTTGATGTAAGGTTGTTCACTTTAAGATCATCATAGAGGACACAGGGGCACTCTTTACGTCTGGAGGAAAAGAGATGTGACCTCACACTCCACATATGGAAAGGCTTCTTCACAGTAAGAACTGTGAAGTTGTGGAATAAACTCCTTCAGAAACATTTATAGATTATAACATCAGAGACTGTTGATCCAGGAAATATCCAATTGCTTTGGGGACCAGGAAGTAATTTTTTTTCCTGCTGGAGCAAATTGAACCATGCTTTATAGGATTTTTTTTTTTTTTTTGCCTTCCTCTGGATCAACTATGGGTATAGGGTCCTGTAAATTGTGGTTTTCTATTTAATTATCCTTTCTCTTTTTTATTTTGTCTTCTGGTTAAACCAGATGGTTTTGTTTCTTTTTGCAGCCCGACTAGTTATTATTCACTCCTTTTTCATTGCAGCCAAACAAAACAAACTTTTGTGGATTGATGAACAGAAAATTGTTCTTGCTCTACAACACAAACCTCCAAACTTTTTACAGGAAGAAATAGAAGGGGCAATATTTACATCCAAGGGTTGTTATTTTGCAAACCATTTAAAAAAGTGGCTCCAGCATTTGCTAAGGGCAAGCTTCCCTCACCACATTCCAAATTCACTGCAGTTGCAATCTGCAGCGGGTGTCAATAATAAGTTAATGACACCACAAACACAGGTTGCAAACACAGTGCGTTTGCCTACACAAGATCACAAGGTAGAAAAGTACCATGCAATCCAGTTGCAGTGAGTTTCTAAAAGTAGTGCATGCACTACTTTTGGTGTGGTGCAGTCCAATGTGATTTCAGCCCATTCAAAATGAATGGTCTGAAACGCATCTCACTGAACTGCATCTCACTGAAAATTGCACAGGGCATGAACAGGGCATTCCTGTGCGATTGCTTGTGTGAACCTGCCGTAATGCTTCATAACAGCTGCTTAGTTTGCCATTGCAGAACCCTTGTGTTGCAGATCTAGTGCTAGGCTTTCTCATTGAACAGCTCAGTATACTTTGCAAATACTGCAATATGAAATTGCATTTTATATTTTTTATGTTATTTTATACAATTATGAAAAAATTACATAAAGCACCACTTTGATATGAATGTGGCCACAGGGCGATTTCTTCATATACTGCTCTATTAAAGATCCATATTGCTCATAAAGTAACAGTCTCAGTTTCTCAATCCCCCATTGTTTGCCACTTATGCCACTACAGGACCATCTTAAGACTTCTGGTAAATGTTTTGTGGAACTATAGTCTTTTATATTTATTTATTTAATACAGGTACTTATATAGCGCTGTCAATTTATGCAGCGCTTTACATATATATTGTACATTCACATCAGTCCCTAACCCTCAAGGGGCATACAATCTAAGGTCCCTAACTCACATTCATACATACACATACTAGGGACAATTTAGAGAGGATCCAATTAACCTACCAGCATGTCTTTGGAGTATGGGAGGAAACCAGTGTACCCGGAGGAAAATCCATGCAGGCACAGGGAGAGCATGCAAACTCCAGGTAGGTGGTGCCGTGGTTGGGATTAAAAAAAAACGACCCTACTTTTTTGCTGATGGTGGTGGAGTTTCTGTTTACTTGTAATATTTATTAGATGGACTGCTTCGAAGCTTCGAAGGGGGCACAATTTTTGCCTTTACTTGTCTGTAAAAGACTGGTGTGAGTAGCTCAACATCATTACAAAAGGGAACCCATCTGTGGATGATATTTTTTGCTATGGTCATTCCATTGGCAACTTGCTTTTGGTTTGGAGGGAACCAAAGGAAAGAAGTTAGAGGAGTTCTTGGATTACATCAATAAATAATGCAAGTTTATTCTTTAACCCCTTCATGACAGAGGGTACAACAAATTTTAATGCCTGAACACAATTGTTCAACTTTGACATGGGTTAGCAAAACTGTGCATATCATCGCAACTACTTTGTGTATCCAGGTGAATTATACCTTGTTTCTTGTGGAACAAATTGGACTTTCTTTTGGTGATAAATGGTAATGGATATCTCCTGAAGCTCAGCTTTAAATCAAAGATAAGTTTCCTGGAGTTCAGCTGTAAACCAGAGATGGGATTTAAGATTACATTTGAAATTGATGTTTGATTATTCTGAAACTTCGTCCTTATCCTTTTGGTATTAAACTTAGGGTTGTTGTATATCTTCTAGCGTATATGGAAGAATTGCTGTGTGCTGGCATTCATATCATCCCATGTATGTTGACCCCATGAAGAAGACTTTGACTGTGCATTACACTGGCAAGTGCAGAGTAATATTGGTGAGGTTATATAAGGTTGAGTGGTGTACTTGGTTAAGTAAAAACATCACTTTATCAACTACTGTATGTACTTTTGGGGAAAAAAAGCATTTCAGAAAGAGGTCAAATTGGCAGCCTGAATATTTCTCACTGGAAATGTTTTATTTTAACAGTTTTTTCCTTTCTTGTATATCCCCTTATGAAAATAAGAATTTTTCTTAACAACCATCAAACATTATGGGAATTGTTTTATGGGTGTTTCTTTAGGCATTTTGGACTAAGTTATTTTTTCTTGTTGATAATCTGTGAATGCAACATATCATTACTCTGTTCAGTTTCACTATGGTGTCCGTTTATGAACCAGCGGTAATAGATCGCTGCTCAGTTCTCCGGCATTCTCGGAGAACACAGTTCTCCTGTGAATCCAGTTTATGAAGCAGTTCTCCGAACGAAGGGAGAACGGTCTCCAAACGCTGGAGAACGGTCTACAAACTCTGGAAAATGGCTGATTTTACTATAATCTCGCGAGATTACAGTAAAAGATCAGTTTACTAAACAGAGGTAAATTATCTCTGCTTAGTTTGCGGTCCCTCCGATTCTCCAGCTCTGGGCTGGAGAATCTGGAGGGAGAACACAGATCTCCAGCGAAGGGCTGACATGATCTCCTGAGTGTCATAAACTGTGAATGACCAGAGAATAGCTGAGATCCCTTGAATCGCAGCTATTCTCTGTGTCATAAACGGACACCTGAGCTCTTTATAACTTCTAATGACCCTTCTGCTGCATCTTCACAATGATGCACTCTGTACATTCTAATGTCTATGCATACAAATGTTTGAATTGGTGCTTCTATTGGTGTGAGCAGAAAGGCCCTATTTTACCTTTTGAATAGTGTTCAGAGTTAACTCTTTTTGTAGGCCACTGGATTTGCTAGCAGTCCTAAAGCAACCCTTTCATCAAAGGCACAAGTGGGCTGCCATTGCCAATCCTCTTCTGAAGATAGTAGTCACCTGGGTAGTATAATGATCACATTTTTATTTTTTTTTACATTTTCCAGAAAAGATATTACAGAAAACAATGTAAGTCACTTGACATGTAGCCCCTTTTACTGGGCTTTTACACCCAAAGTGCTGGGAAGGTCGGCCTGATCCCGACACCACTGTGATTAGCTGTGGTTGGCAGCTAGGTCACTGTGCTGGAAGTGTGCAGTGAGCACACTCTCAGAACTTCTACCACCCAAGGATGCATATGTGTGGTGTGTGGGAATTAAAGCCTCTTCATCAGAGCTCTGTCCTTGAAATGGGTAAGCTCCACTCCCAATTGATTGGCATCACTTGAGTACTGTTATTAAATTTTATTGATGTGCTTGACTTTGCTTACATTTGTGAGTATATTGGAATTATTTTCATTTTAAATAAATTGTTTTTATGGTAATGCACAAGGCTGGTGCACTCTCTCTTCTGTTTTTGTTCCAGCCATTGTGTTTAAGGATCCCCCAATCTGAAAAGGGCAACAAGGCCAAACATTACCTGTGGAATTCATGGAGGAACTGCTTCTGGGATGACAATAGAACAGTGATCACCAAACTGTGACCTGGGGGCCAGATGTGGCCCTTTGCTTGCCTTTATCTGGCCCTTTTGGCACAATTCCTCCCACTGATAGCAATGATGAGGCACTATTCCTTCCACTGACACCAATGATAGGGCACTATTCCTCCCACTGACACCAATGATGGAGCACTATTCTTCCCACTGACACCAATGATGGGGCACTTTTCCTCCTACTGAGACCAATGACGGGGCAATATCTCTCCCTCTAACACCAAAGATGAGGCACTATTCTTCCCACTGATACCTGTGATGGGGCACAATTCCTCCCACTGACACAAATGATGGCGCACTAGTCCTCTCTCTGGCACCAATAATGGGACATTATTCCTCCCACTGACACCAAAGATGGGGCACTATTTCTCCCATTATAACTAATGATAGGGTGTTTCCTACTCCCACTTGCCAGTGTGTCCCCCCTAAAACCTGAAGGACAGTAAACTGGCCCTTGGTTTAGAAATTTTGGAGACCCCTGCACTACCAAAAACCTCTTTATTACTGACTTTATTATTACAGGGACTGGTTTTGTCTGCTGACTTTAGTGCTGTTGGATAATCAGTCATTGCTGGGTGTCGCATGTGTCCTTGTACTTTTAAGGAGGGGTGCTCCAACTTTGGAAACTCTCAGAATTATAGAATTAGGACTGCAGTACACTGGGGTGCCTTGATGTGGCCACTGCAAAATATACATATATTTGCATATGTGTGCAACTAAACCCCTTGTTTTTTTACGTGAACTGTTAGACAGGGTCAATTCAGTTTTGTTGCAGGCTGGCTGGTAAGTGAGCTGGGAATTTTTGTTTGTTTTGCATTGCCCTTCTATATGTTCCTTGCCGCAAAAGCTTGTTATAGGTTGGGGTGGTTGCCATTTTTTTGTATAATCATGGCTACTTAGGATGTCCCAAAACTATGGCCATGAAAGGAGGGAGACACTGCAACCACCTTCAGGTCCAGGCACTACTCCACAGCCCACAACACTCTGTGGCCAAAAGCCTTCAAGCCCACCTGGTAAAATCTTTTAGGACCAGTTCACACCATAGAAACGCAGTCCAGATGCGTTCTGGATGTGTTTTTGCATGTACGTTTTTTATATGTTTTTGGCGCATTTCAGTGTGTTTTTGATTTGTTTTTGACTCATTTCAGCGCGTTTTTCATGTGTTCCGGTTCATATTTCCCCCTCTCTTTTTCTTCCATTTAAATAGGAACCTGTGCATTGCAGTGAATTTGTGTGTTTCAGTATGTTTTTGATACATTTTACTGCGTTCCAGTACAGTTATGTGCAGGACAAATGCAGCCATTTCTACTTTTTTTCTGCAACCGGAACGCACTGGAACTGCAAGCACTGATGTGAACTATGACATTGACAACCATATAGCCTACTTTCTGTGCATTTTGGTTGCATAAAAAAGCAACTGAAACGCATGTAGTGTGAACTGGCCCTTCTCCTAGATTGTAAGCTCGAAAGAGCAGGGCCCTCAATTCCCTCATGTTTTGCATTGTATTGGTATTGTTCTGTCCCCCTTTGTAATGTACAGCGCTGAGCGAACTATTGGCGCTTTATAAATACTGTATAATAATAATAATAATAATAATAATAAAAAAGGTGTGTTCCTTGTTTGCAAACCTGAGACACTTACGTCTGACAACAGATAGTCCAAGGAGGCTTCCGCGCCCCTGGACATTAGTTGGGGTCATGTGTACTTCTCTAAGCACACTTCAAATCCCATAGTCCATCTCAGGTGTGAGCAAGAGAGGGTGGCTATGTTCCTACATACAGTGGGACCATAGAGAACAAATGTAGCCAACCTCCAACAGAAAGTCAGATCATAGCAGCAAAATCAAAGGAATTTGGAGATTTGTAGAAGGCTCGGAGCAATAGAAGGTACTTGTTTAAGTTAAAGTATATCTAAAGGCAAAACTTTTTTTAAAGTTTTGGATAGAATTGTGAGGGATTAGAACACCCGCCAGTTGTTATTGCTGTCTGTGCCCCCATTAGGAAGATTCTCCCTCTCTATTTGTCCTGTTTACGATTATCATCAAAAGTGAAAGTAAATGAAAATCCAAAATTTTGGGTTGGCATCAGAACAGGAATAGAGGAGAAATCTTCTAATGGGGACAATAGTTCTGGTGACACCCTGGGATCCCCTCATGTTGGAGGGATTTACTCTCACTTCCTTTTTTGGCTATGGGACAGGAAGTAATGGGAAATCTCTAAAATCTACACTAAAACCACGGCTATTGTAGTTGTAGTATTGTACTGTTCAAATTCCGGATGACCCAGTCAACAGTTCAGTGGGTGGTCCTGTTGGCTGCCTCCAACCTGACATTCCTCGACTGAGAAATCTAAGGAGCCAGGCAGAAAATTGAACAATAGCTGTATCCAATCAGATGCAGCCCCTGGTCAGATATTTTGACAGCCAGTGGGGCAAGCTGTCGGAATACAATACCAGCAACTGCAGAGGGAGATTCGTTCATCTCCATTGCATAGTGTGGATGAATAATCTTTTCAATTTTTTTTTCAACATTTATATGCCTATGGCCTGCTTTACTTTGTTGGTTGGCCTCATTGGCCCTCAGTTCCTCTCCCATGCACCTCATCTGTTACACTATATAAAACTATGTAATTTCAAAACTGAATAATTTCATGCTCTCTCCATTTTACACAATAATTTACAAAGTGAGGGACACTTTTTTTTTTTTTTTTTTTACAGGTTAAGGGACGCTTATTTTTATTATATGATGTATGCAAAAATGACATGCACTTTTCTTTTTAGCTCTAAAGTTGCATACGGTAGTTGTAGCGTGTTCAAAATAATAATCGCATCTAAATAAATGTATTTTTCCAGTACCCAATCTTGTACACAAGCCTTTTCAGCGTCTGTATTGCTTTAGGTTTGTAAATACCTCTTCTCTCCCCACTGTGTCTTAGAATGAGTTCTCATTTTCAGCCTCCAATTTGTGTCCAGCTCACCCCTGATGGTTGTCCCTAGGAATAGGCAGCATGTCCCAGCTGTGGGAATTAATACTGTCACCACTAAGTGGTCTTGTCAGCACATCTGTATAACTCAGAAGGCCCTGTCCAGACTCGTTGCTTTTAGCTCCTTCAAGACTCGAGATGATAATTTCTAGTTCCCCTTACTCACTGATTTTTGCCTTCCTCGCTAGGCTCTGAACATAGATTCTTAGCGGAATGCACAGCCTTCCAATGACCTCTTTGATGGTGTCATCTGTCCATGACATTTCAGTTAGATGCAGCAGACGTATCAGCAATGTATCCAAAAATGAGGCGAGGAAGGAAATGACCGCAGTAGAACAGAAAAGGAGCAACTGCTTCATTTATGATTTACCAATTTAGCGGATCTGTTTTACGATGGATCCATGAAAGGGCTGATGTACTAAAGAAATTTCTAAACTGGTTTGGGTCTTCCAGTATTCAGTTTTTTTTAAGTGAACCTATCATCAGATATATTATTCATTTTGAAGTGTATGTATAGCCAAAGCCTGCTTTTATATTTATTTATGTATTTATTTATTTCATTCTTTTGTATTAGTTTAGATTTTAATGCAAAATTATACAAAAAAGTACAAAAGGTGTCTTAAGAAAAACACAAAAAATTGAAACATTACACAGTTTCGGCACTATCGGTGCCTAACAAGGAGTTAAGAGTACTCTGCTCCATTGTCTACTGTCTATGGGCATAGATAAGAAGTAGCAACAGAAACTCAAGGTACTAAAGACAAAAAAATTGCAGGTATAACAACGGCAGTAAGCATCTACTGTAGACCAGGGGTCACCAAACTGTAGTCCATGGGCCAGATGTGGCCCTTTGCTAGCCTTATGCAGCCCCTGGGACACTATTCCTTTCACTGACACCAAGAGTGGGGCATAAATCCTGCCAGTTATATCAATGATATGACAATATTCCTCCCACTAACACCAATAATGGGGCACTTTTTCTCCTACTCCCACTAACTAAAAAAGCCTCTTCATTAGAGCACTGTCCTTGAAACGCATAAGCCCCACTCCCAGTTGATGGGCATCACTTGAGTATTGTTATCAGATCGGTTATTAAATTTTATTGATGTGCCTGACTATACTTACTTTTGTGAGTATATTGGAATCTTTTTCATTTTATATCAAAAGTTTTTATGGTAATGTACAAGGCTGATACACCCTCTCTTCTGTTTTTGTTGCAACCATTGAGTTTAAGGATCCCCAAATCAGAAGAGGGCAACAAGGCCTATACATTACCTGTGGAATTAATGGAGGAACTGCTTTTCGGATGACACTAGAACAGTGCTCTCCACACAGCGACCTGGAGCCAGATGTGGCCCTTTGCTTGGCTTTATCCAGCCCTTTGGTCACAATTCATCCCACTGATAGCAATGATGTGGCCTATTCCTCCCACTAACACCAACAATGAGACACTATTCCTCCCATTGACACCAATGATGGGACACTATTCCTCCCACTGACACCAATGATGGGGCACTATTCCTCCTCCTACTGACCACAGGTGATGTGTCATTTTTTTACTCCCATTGACCAACAATCCAGAGACATTGTCTATTCCCACTTACACTAGGACATTTTTTTACTTCAGATGGCCGTAGTCCAGCCCTCTTAATGTCTAAAGAACAGAACACTGGCACTTTGTTAAAAAATTTGGAGACCCCTGATATAGACTCAATTTGCTTGTTGCATAGCAGAATGAGATGTGTTGAAATGGGGTGAGAAGAGAAAAGAGAAATTTTATGGAGACATCTCAGCTCTGTAAGGGATCTCAAAAAAAACATTGGGTCTATGTATTCAGCTAAGAGAGAGCAGTCAGGGTGAGGCAGCTGAATCAGAGGACTCAAGTCACAGGACCATATGTTATTGAATTTAGTGGGACACTTTATAGGCAACTTTTAAAATGGTCATGCAGAATCTACCAAACCTTCCAACAGCCTAGAGTGGGGAGAGCTCTATCCTTCCACGCGCAAAACAATCGCCTTTCTGGCATAAAAGAGCTAAAGACTAAATAAATTTCTAGTCATCTTTTGGTTGGCCAGAGGCTCCACCAAACTAAAGAGACAGACCCCTACATCTTGAGGGATTAAAATGCTGGAAAGATCAGAGTATTGGGTGGAAAGCACACTCAGCCATGCTGGTGTGAAATAACGACAGTGTACCAATTCATATTGTATGAGTCTGTCCCTGGCCGAGATCAAATGTTGGAATGGATAATCCCAGACATCCTCTCAGTCATCGTTATCTAAAGTCA